ATCCTTTGTTAAACACAATTGCACTTTTATCGGCATTGTCAATATAAAAAGTGACTCATCACTGGAGAAAGCAGTCCACCATGGGGCCCGAGGGAACACTGATATTGTTGACAAAACAGCAAACACTCGGCAAGATGGCGTAGCATGCTGCCATAAGGTCTTCCCAACCTAGAGCAGGGCGCTCTGAAACAATTTCGGACTATTGAATCTGGACCTGGATTAGTTTTGCTGGGAACTTCGAATACACCATACAACGTATACAAAATACAGCATGTGTTGTACAGTATGAACCCACCACTGCAGCTGCCTGTGAGACATATGCAAATTTAATAACCTTGCATAAGTCACTGCCAAGGACTCGGCGATACTTGAGAGAATAGGAGGATATTGGAGGATGTTACTTGTCAAACACCGATAATGTGGTGTACCAGCCTTCATCCCGTGTCACAATGTTCCACCCTGGATGACGGTTTGGTTAATCTCTGTGTATATACAGTCTGAGCTATGTAACCATTTCCTAGCAACTGATCAGCTGCTTGAAAAAGGCTCTATCACCAGTACAAGGAGCTCGACTCGTGATGGTAAAGAAGTCGAAATCCATTTGTCAATCCTGTTTTAGGTTGTCATGTTAATTTCATTTTTTAATTGCACTGCTTCAACGAAGACTTAGATAAAATACTCTTTTGTTAAACCAATATGAAAACATCAAAATGAAACATTTTAGTGGAATGAGTCATAACACATCTTCAAAGCTGTCACGTTTTCAAAAAGCGTTAGCCAATTGTAATCAGCCATATATGAATTAACAATGCATATCAAGACGTTGAGATTCAATATTTGAATCAGTACCGAAGATGGTCTAATATCTGAATAGTAATTAAATTCATACCTTGCTATTTCTGATCTAACATGACAGATATTGATCGCAGGTTATCATCCCCGGATGCTTGTCTCAAGTAATGATAACAGTTATTTAAACCATGTTCTTTCAGTCGGCGCAAGAAGTAACAGGGACCTTTTTTTCAAAAATCATCTCCAGAAGTCATTAGAAGGTCGACGCACATACGATGTTTATACTTCAAAACCACCTTGACCTAAATAACAGCGATAGAAACTTTTCTGCGATCATAACTTGCATTCACAAACACGTACATCTCATGAATTTGTGTTTTACAGTACAACCAGGAATTATTGAGAATATAAAGATTGTATTTTTTAATTTTTCACTCATTACTCACGTATTAAATGTGAATATTAGCAGAACATAACTCCAGATTCAAAGACAGGTGAACAGTTAGTATTTTGTCAAGTCACCATGGGCAGCAATGCAGGCTTCAATGCGGCGCGGCATACTACTGATCAAAGAAGTTAGAAAGTCGTGGTCCATGCTGTCCCAATATCGGACCACCTCTTCTTTCATTTCAGCAATATTTGTCAGATTTTCTTTATTGACACTTTCCTTCATAAGTCCCCAAACATTTTCTATTGGATTTAGGTCAGGGCTATAGCTTGGCCAATCTAATAATGTCATATTTTGGTTCCGAAACCAGGCCTGTGAATGCTTTGAACGATGTTTTGGGTCGTTGTCCTGCTGGAAAATCCCAAACTTCCATAGAACACGTGAGCAGATGGAAGTAAATGTCCCTCGAGAATATCTGTGTAGCGCTCACTGTTCATATTCGCTTCAAATACACGGACGGGCATTGTCCCTAACACAGATATGCCACCCCCGTTAAATTTCGGACTGTACTTTGGGCGCTGATACAAAGGTTTTTCAGTTTGTTTGGTCCAGAATTTCAGTGTATTAGGAAACAGCCACACAGAACTTTCATCTGAGTAAATCACATTGTCCCAGTTTAAATTTCTGTGCTGTAAGCACCAGGTCAACCTTCGCTCCTTTTGTTCAGGTTTCATGATCGGTGATGGAATTCCTCGACTTTTCTGCCAACCCATTGCATGCAGCTCAGTCTCCTTACAGACAGCCACAGTTCCTCTATCAATCATATCCAGCCTTAAGTTTTCTAAACTCCTTCGTTTGTTTTAGAAACAAGAATACCAAGCCGCCTCATGTCACCGACAGTCAATTTTCTGGGCCTACCTGCGCCTCCCTGGTGCTCAATGCCATATCCATTTGCAATATTTTTCAAAACACGATAAACAGAGGACAAAGGGATGCCTGTTCTACTTGAAATCACTTTAGCTGATCTGATGTCCTTGTTAAAATACTCTAAAATCAACTTCCTCTTCTCTAAATCATCCATACTGAGGATCACTGAAAATGTGTCTGCTAGCAAGTAAACAAAGGGGGATAACTCTCCACAAACTAATGAAAAAGGATTAACGGAGTTGTCTCTCTTGAATGAAACCAAACACTTGATAGCTGGTCAAGGTTGTTTATACTAGAAATCCAATTAAACATATTCCTAAAATTCTCAATAATTTCTGGTCATACTATATCTGGTAGTGATGACATGTTGTATTTCCCACAAACGAAAGCATACCTTAACCCCCTGAGGCACACGTCACATAACAAGAGCTAAACACAAATACAACAGACACATTACACCTATGCTGTTCAAGGATTATACTGACATTTCCACTGAAAGAAATCCGACAAATCTTTCTTCGGGAAAGACCGGATCTTGGTTATTTCATATTGTTACACATGCCTACATTTCAAGAGTTATCAGAGCCTGCAGGTCTACAGTTTTATTTACTAGTAGTTGCGTGGTCAAAGGATTAAATTTATACAATTACAAAATCGATCTTGGACGTGGGATATAATGAATTTCCATGAGAGTACATGTGTATGACATTTTACATGTAAATGACCTTGATTGTGACATTGAACTTTTCATCACTGGAATTAACATGTTTCGTCATTATGCCGTGACCTTACTAATTTATCTGTTGAAATATTAATCGATGTAAGCCTCAAGTTCGATACTTTTGTTTACATAAGTAAAACCCCAGACTTACATTTCTCTGTAATTTTCGTTCCAAGCCTATCTCTTCATTACTTTACTTCAATCTTGTTTCCAAGGAAAGGCATAAACAGCTCCAGGGAAAGGTTCTAAATGCCAATAAGACCTTGTCCTTCTCATGGCTGACGTGTGGTGGGGATAACAAAATGATAATAACTTTACAAAATCGAAAAGAACCCGATCGTTAGTTCAGCTGTAACACTGTTAAACCTTCCAACACGGGCAGATGGTTTTCAGTTGGATGCGGAAGAACGTGGTCACCTCGGGTAGAAGAACAACGTCTTCACATGCTGTTGTTTTATCGGTGAGAGTGGATCTAGAATCGTCACAGCGGTAAGTGCGGGCGATGTCTCCTAGTGTATGTGGTCACGTCGGTTATACATTCCAATTCTCAATAATTAAAATTAAAAAAGCAACCACATATCCTCACTCTGTATACACTGATAGTCATTTTTGATACATTGACTGGAGTGGTAAAACAAACATTCCAATTATGGCAGTAGAGTGTTCATTGACCCATACACATGAATAGGAAAACAGTCTCCTAACTGAGCATTTGCCATTGTAAAGATCATCTGTAATAGATATATATCGCTAATGTCCACGGTCTATTTATAACGTCGGCCCTCATAGACTAATGGTGTTCACCTTCACTACTAATAAAAAATGCTTCTTTTTTATTGTTTAATCAGGTACCGGAGACCTGTGGTGCTGGCGAAGTTATTAATAATTCACCAATTTTCAATAACAGTTCTCAATTGAACTGAATGGGCAATACAAAATGATCAAATTCAAGGATAATGGAAGCCTATCCTTAGAGAGATCCTTCATAAACAATTAAGTCACAATACCATCGCTGTAGCATGTTGTGTGCGCAGAGATTCATCACAAAGGGCCAAGCCTGTGTAATGAAATTGCCATATGCAGATGATGATAGACCACGGGGTGACTAGGCAAACATGTGGAGATGACGGCATTTCGGAAAAAATGAAACCGTTTACCATCACAATACAAAGCGGAACAGGTGAATTGTGTAACCATATACACATAGTAGATGGCGACTTTTCGTGAAATATGAAACTATTAACCATCGCAATACAAAGCGGAACAGGTGAATAGTGTAACCATATAGTAGATGGCGACTTTTTCGTGAAATATGAAACTATTAACCATCGCAACACGGTACAGGTGAATTGTGTAACCATATACACATAGTCGATGGCGACTTTTCGTGAAATATGAAACTATTACCCATCACAATACATAGAGGATTCGCCCTCGTTTGGGAAATACCAATATTTAGGCACTCGTGTCGTAAACATAGTATGACATGGGCACTCATATAATATTCTGTTTATTACCGAAGTCGTCAAATTGAGGAAAATAACCCAAATATACTTTCAAACATAGGCTGTCTACCCGCCGTCGCCGCATGTAGAACGCAACGTCACAGAAGACACGTGACGTCATAGCATTGTTCATGACGTCACGCCACCATGACTAAGTGATATGTTACCCTAGGGCATCGTATGAAAAATATGAACCCCGATATGTTCGCCCTGGTAGGTAATAAAGAGCGATACAGGTGAATTGTGTAACCATATACACACAGTAGATGGCGACTTTTTCGTGAAATATGAATTTTCAAACTATTTACCATCACAATACAAAGCGGTATAGGTGAACAGTAACCATATACACAACACAAAGAAGGTGGCGACTTTTTCGTGAAATATGAAATAGAATTTGTACTGTTTACTCACACAATGAGTTAACACAGGTGTGTTGTGTGACAATACACATACTAGTATGCAAATAGTGACATTTTCCAGGAAATAAGAAATGTTGACTGGATAGGTGTGCTGTGAAACTATACACAAATATGCAGTTGAAACTGTTGACGCAGGACAGGAAGTGTTGTTGACGCAGGACAGGAAGTGTTGTTGACGCAGGACAGGAAGTGTTGTTAACTTTACACACATGCAGTTGACGAGAAAGATAAAATTGTTGACTCACCTAGGAGGGGCACAGAGGCAGCAGCAGGGGGCAAGCTGGATTCCATCAGAAGGAGCAGCAGGAAAAATGCCACAAAGATATTGATTCCTGTCGAGAAAAATGGATTTGTATCAGAATAATTTTGACCTAGTCGATGAAGCAATGTCCGGCTAATTGTACACTGACACCCCGGGACGACGCATGGCCCAGCGCTGTTCCACAATAATAACATTATGCAAGTCAGAGTAAAGACCCCTTGCACCAGTCAATTACTTCAACTCGTAGATTAATGGTCTGCAGGACACAGTCACAAGACAATGGTACAGATAAAGAGCGCCCACACAGGCGCCCGCGTTACAAGATGTTGGTAGACATTCAAAAAAACTCAATTCACAAACCGATAGGGTACTTCACAAACCGATAGGGTACTTCACAAACCGATAGGGTACTTCACAAACCGATAGGGTACAGGGTACTTCACAAACCGATAGGGTACTTCACAAACCGATAGGGTAGATGACAACTTTAGCTACTGTTCAGTAATACATAACAGTATTTCAGGTACAGAACCAGATGTTTCACAATACAAGTGTAAGTAATTGAACAGAGTTGCCGCTTTTTAACCATTGGCAACGTATAGAGACATTGCTTCACAATCACTTTACAAATAGTGAATAAAATAGGAACATGAAATATTCATGGTGGAATATGATAGGAAAAGAATAGGTTTTCGTGATATGTTGACATAGTCGATATAAAGGGTATATAATGGGAATAAATTGATACAGATATAGCGGAAATAAAGTTTGAAATATGTGTTGATGGTAGCTAGGATATGGGGAAAAGAAATGTTAAAGTGTTTTAGGGTCTATCAAGGAGAATGTATTGATCGTGCTAGTACATGGAGACACAGAGTGTTAGAGTGGGAACATGGTGATGGAGGGGTATTGGAGATTTACAGGGTGTGGAATATATGAATACTTGTAAATGGGAGACATAGAGGGTTGTAGAGGCGAATATCTTCATAGCGCTCAAATTGGGGACACGGTAAAAGTGAAAATATTAAAATTCATTATAAAGGGGAGAGATGCAAGACTACGGTTGAGATCATGTTAATGATACGGTATGGGCCAAGATAGTGGGGGTAGATAGTGATGATACAAGTAAATGGGTGGAATAGTGGGATATATACGTGGGTATATATTCATAGTTCAAACATATGGGCAACATGAAAGGTTAGTACTACAAAATGAAAAATAGAGGGTTAACATGTTAATTTTCAGGTATAGGCTATTGAAGGGGTTATAGAGGGAAATATAGTACAAGTAAACGTGAGACAAAAGTTGACATTGGAATATATTCATAATACTGGAAAATAGACGACATAAAGGGTTATAGTGGGAAGTACACTGACAGAAATGAGATGGATGGAGGGTATGTTGGTCATTGCGGGTACAAGGTGCTATGGAGGGGAATATATTGGTATCCTTTATATCCCATCACATTGGAGACCGAGGGGTACAGACACGAAGTTATTGCTAGTTATAGTAAATATTAGTTATAAAAGATTGGAAAATGGGGTATGGTGATAGGACTACAACAATACAAGATATAGAGGTTTATAGTGGGTAACAACTAACGGTAGAGTAGGGGAGAGTCATATAGAGAGGAACAGTACAAGAAGTAGAATACACGAGTAACTGGGATGAAAGTGGCAAGATATGTATGTCCTGTGTTTATTTTAGTGATATATTACATAAATATATAATAATATATACCATCCTCCTTTCAATAGTGTCTCGACTCTATTATCATTCCGATTCGAATGACACGATATTCTAAATTCAGTTACATTTATAGTTTCAAGACTCTCTACTGAGGCTGTAAGAATAATTCCCCCAATCAAAAGTGAGATTGACATTCTGATTTGGTTGCTGATTTTAGCTGTGAGCATTACTTTCTGGTGAGGCTGTGGAATATAGTTTCTTTACTGGAAAGTGAGACTGTCTTTAGGAAAATAGTTTCGTGATTAATTTTGACTGTGAGACTTTCTGATGAGGATGTGTTAAAGAGTTTCCTGATTCGAAAGCAAGACTCACTATTGTAAACCAGTTTCCTGATTCGACTAAGAATGACTTTCTGATGAGGATGTGGAAAATAGTTTCCTCATGTCTTGATGCGATTATGTGGATATTTTCCCGATGCGATTGTGGCGATGGGTTTGAGGAACCCCGCTGCTAGCATCCACGTTAAGGTCCTGTGTATTTCTATAAGAGACAATTAGTGGGTGTTTATGCCGTGTCGGAGAGATGTGTACCTCATAACTCCTGCAAGCTATCGCGTTTAGCTGTCTCCAACTCCAATAGACAGAGAAGCCGCTTACCGGCCATATCTTCCACACTAATTCATTATTTAGCGTTTGCCTGTGCAATCTTATCACTAGCTTAAAACGTGCTTGTTTTAATCGGGGTTGGATGACGACATATGATTTATTTATAGCCGAACTCAACAGATAGGTTTAACATGACCGGGCAGCAGTAGCTTGCTGCAATACTGCAGACGACTAGATGAAAGACGGAACAAGCTGCCTCCATCTCCGCGACTGGATGAGCTGCTATAGATGCTAGCCCTCTTCACGTTCGCGTCTCTATTTCGGGCGGCAAACTGTAGGGGTGCCTAGACTAATCAAGCATTGCTAACTCGCATCAGCTATCTTAGTGCCTGTCGGGAGAGGGAGTCCAGCTCCACTTCTTGGATATGTCAATGATAATAATATCCACATGGACCTAAATACTTCATACTCCAGTTTACATGTCTCCAAACCGTTCGTCCTTCGTGTAGTACCTCCGAATGGTCAGTATGATTCAAATGGAGAGCTACGTCTCAAAGTTGTGCGAGTTATCGTTCTTTGTAGACAATAACAATGTCGTCCCAGCAGCGTCCAGCAATTACCATGTGAAGGTCGCCCGCGTTTGGGCACTGCCTACACTGTAAATCATTGATGAAGACACTAGGACAACACGCATGTCAGATTTAGGCTTCAGTTCACCAGCAAACGAGTTTTCCTAAAGGGCCACGGGCTTAGACAGATGTGACGCCGGGAACATGCATATAGAAATAGCCGACCGTTTCAGGAACACTTGTATTTTTATCCTTCGCAAAAACACAGATAGAAAATACTGCTTCTCACTGACAATGTCCTGTAGAAAAGCTAATCTGTATTAAATGATTTGTTTTGTCTAAAACTACAAGGCCGAAGTGCTGAACGTAAGACAATATGGGGTATCTTTAGATAGGTTTTGTTCGTAATGTCCTTAAGCGTTTTTTAAGTCGTTGGTCTGCTGCCACGCCAACCCAAAGATCCGCAGATGCAGAATACAGTTAAACAGGTTTTCTTTTCTTCCTGTCGTGTCTGCTAACTAAATTTAGTAATAAAAAAGCCTTCAAAATAAGTCAATAGGGGACCATAAGTAAGGCTTGGACTTGTCATTCCGATAGCACTTCTTCTTTCGCTTCGTTTCTTCTGTATTTCACCAGACCGACAATTCAATTAGGAGAACATTTCAGAAACATGTTCTTTATCTTTATCTTTTTATTTTTACCATCCAAACGAAATTCGTAAACCGAGTTTAAAAAAATATGTACCAATTTTAAACGACATGGAATCTCATTGATATTCTTTGCCATACATTTCTGAAAACCGTCCTATACGCGGAAATATTTAGGTCGACATCTTACTCCAGAGTAACTGTATCCATCTCAGTGGCTATCTGAATTAACCTGTACAAACACTGCAATTAAATCATTTTATTTGGTTTTTGGGAAAATATATTGATACCGCAATGTTTGAAAACTTTACACAAGTTTGTTTTCTTATTTATTTGCTGTTATCTAGGCAAGGATGGAAGTATTCTGTTGATCCTTTTGATCATTGATACTGCTTCTGTAATTTACGGGTTAAGTCACAGTATCTGTTTTGTTTTTGTTTTTTTGTTTTTGTTTTTTTGCTCAATTGTATCTTTTTGAAACTTTCACTTTTTCTTTGCTTAACATCTTATCGTAATGACTTAATGTAGATTATTGGTGAATTATGTTTATGTCATTTCCTGAATACCCACAGCAATGAGTACATGATTCGTCTTACAGCTGTTACATTGTAAAGGGGAAAGAGCAGCAATACCCACCACAAGTCCAAACTCTAAACATGTCATTATTCTTTACGTATTCTCGACACCCACAAAACATATGAGCCCTCAAAATTTAACCTCTGAAATGAGTTTTTCAGATACTGTTTGATCACTGTATTTTCAATTCATTAAATCAGTTATTCATTGTGTGAATGGCTTTTTAAACTGTTTACTGTGTGGTTCTACAATAACAGTAAACAATAACCTTTTCAGAACGACATGTTGACAGAGTCAACATTCCAAAATCGGTTAGAATATAATTTCTGAATTAAGTTTGAAAAATTAAAACGATTTGAATGTGTAACTGGATTTTCTGTTCCATCACTTCATTGTCAGGTTCGTTTACATGCTGACGTATTGTGGGGGTTCTGCTGTGAGACGTCTAGGATCAAGGGTTAAGAAAAGTGACCATAACTCTGACTGCTGCCGGGAATTTAGTACAGACCATGCTGATCTTTTGTCGCGAACACCTAGTGTTAGGGCTGCGCAATATAACCGGTTTACCGGTATTTACCGGTTCAAACATGAAAACGATACGTATTGCGATACGCTGATCGAAAACCGGTATTTTGACATGCAATCGGAAAACTTCGTAACACTCGAAAATGTTCGGATATTTCCGTTTTTTATTTCCTTGTTTCATTTGTGCCAAACATTTTTTACAATTTTATTTTGTCATGATTAAAAGTTTTTATTAAAGCCTAATCAAGCATTGTGATTTTGTTGTGTTTTTGCTTTATAAATCAAGCATTAACTCAACTATAAGTAGTTTTTTGTTAAAAAATAACTTCTTGCAATATATTGCAATACATATCGCAATACATGCTTTCGTATCGCAATATATCGCAACATGAAAATTCCCTGCTATACCCACCCCTACATGGTGTTATCATTAATCTTCAACAATCCATTCAACTAGTTTTAACTCTTATGTTACCTTTTACGCCAAATATAATCTGTTTCAGACTGATTTTTCTCTGGAGAAGAAGTCCTTCATATTCTAAGAAACCTTTTGGTAGTCACCGTGATTATTGGATAGATAACTCGATACTATTTCAAGCTTTATAGTAACAATCTTTCAAGGCTTCTTTAGCCAGGTTTGTCATGCAATACTAAGCATTAATAACATTAGCCATAAAGAACGCATGTGAGGTCACGCGGCTAATGTACAGCATATTTTGATGCTTTGAGATGCGTGTTTCATAACCGGTAACCTTATTAATCTAATTATGTAATAAAAGTTTATGTATGAATAAAAACAAATTCCAGGAGTAAACCACTTGCACGTGTGTATATCATCAGTATTATATTTGATTCATATACACGTTGTACGGCTCATCAAAGCACTTTTACTTCGTCATCAACTTGTTGGTTCAATAACAAATTGAATCCAAGTAGGTGCAGCTGCATGAACGTGTATATCTGTAGAAGGGAGTGTCACAATAGGACCTTTGGGGCTTGTACAGTAGGGGGTGGGGAGGGTGAGTCGATGTGGGGATGTGCTGGTGTGCGTGAATGCTTAGATGCCCATCATGTGATGCTCTGGGGTGAGGGGATTTCAAAGACTGGATATTTCGGTCACGCAATGCATTTCAGTGAAGAGAAGAACTGTTCCAATTTGTTTCACAACATATTTCTCCGGACATCCAACATGTCCAATAAACAACATGAGGAAGGGTTATCCAACATCACCCAAGCCCATTAACACATACAGACAATATTGCGTCACGTACCCTGCGGACCATTATGATGTTATATATAGATGATTTAAGAATATAGTCAACAGGCCATTGAGTACACTGCAGAGATGCAATATGAGGATTGTTCCAGGGTCACAGATGGTCCAGGTGTTTCAGTACCCTCGTTCCGTTTTCGCGAAACAGAATTTTGGGATTGTGGGTTCGAATCCCAGTTCTTCCCATTATGTTGCTGACATTGACCGTGCTCGTGGTTTTACCAATCAGAAGGATTCCATGGTTAAATGTCTAATACCTGAGACGTAGTTCATATTTCACCTGTTATACTCTCATATTCTTACTTTCGACATATCAAGACATATACGATGTGATTCTTAGTGAGCCATTCCTTGTAATAGTGTTGGAACATTAGTAAAATCAGCGAAAGCCACAACAGCTGACACTCATTACCACTACACCTAGGGTAGTAAACCTTCAACATGTTCATCAGATAGGTGGGAATGGTATGGCCGGCATGGTGCTAGTGGGTACCACTACAGTGGTATATCAACACGTACATCAACGTACAACATGTACAGTTGGTGTCATCAGGCAAGAAGTACATGTTCTTACGGGGTTGTTAACACAAACTCCAATTGTTCCGTTAGTGCCAGGGTAACATCTCAGTGTGTAAAACTTCACACCACATCATGTATATGGATGGACATAACAGTTATAAATTTACGTTTTCATTTACAAATTGTAATAGAAATAGCTACTGACTTGTTACAATATTATAAGGGTTGTCAACGATGTTAAAAATTCCAGTGTACAGAAAAGCACATATACGTCAAATGGTAAGGTACATATTGAGTACTGACACAAAGGTCAAGGTATGATAAGGGAATCTTTAGTATCGAGGTCATATAAAAGGATTCAAAATGCCAATGTGAATGACACCCAGACTTAAGGACAACACCAAATGCATACAACATTAGACTTATATGGTGAAAATCTATTTTTGAGTCAGCGGCTTGCTTATGCTAAAAGGTCCATTTGTAAACGTAAACATCTGCATTTAACCACGTCAAACGTGGAACACCTGTAAGGTAAAAAGCCTAATTGTCAGCTATTTGAACATAACTGAATTTCAGATCAATATTTCAAAGTATTCTGCAATTTTAATAGTACATTTCCATCTACAAATTACCCCATCCTTGCACCCATGGATAGACAAGAATAAAGATATTTAATCAGACTTCAGGTCACCATCTTTTCAGTTTCATCTTTAACAGACTATGGTTCAACAGGGTACGTTGAAAGTGTATCACAGGAGAACTAGGAACGCGCCATGGCATAACCCGTATGGTCTTTCGGTGCAGGTGATCTCTAATTTTCAATAGGGACATTTTCCACCCAGTAAGCACATTGCTAGTAACCGATCAAACACCAACATGATCAAGAATGTGAGCAAGTCTGGGCTAGTTGGCCAATAAGCAATTAGATTTTTTTTCGAATCCAATGTTCAAATAACTGTTCACGTCATCAATATGCATGACATTTGGAACCCTTGACAATGAGCACGCTTAAGGACATGTAACACATCTAGCGCTGATATGGATCGGTACTTCGACCTCAGCCAATCAGATGAAATATGCATTTGCAATAGATTGATAAGTTGAACATGTTAGTTTAAAAAGAGGCAAACTATAAAGATGGTCCTTAAAATGAGAGGCAAATTAGAATCACCCAAGATTCAGATTTCATCAGATCAGGTGATTCGTTTGATGCATATGCACTTGTGAATATGTACTTACAAAATTGAGACACACGTCAGAACGACGGCACAAACACACCTTGTACATGAACCCACCTAGCATGAGATATATATGTGCACCCATTTTCTGTATGGTAAGTGCATTGTGATCAGTATACACACAACATAGGTACCCACCAAAAAATAGCAATTCACAATGGCTAACGACCCAACCAATATGCACATATACTATAATAAAGTATCTAATTCACATGACAACTCGTCATGCACTAGAGACCCACTGGACATTACAAACACATTCCTGGCCAGTGTCAACCAGGCAATATACATACTATGTCAAGTGCCCATCCAACATATCACACACACGCACACACGCACGCAACATTAACTTGGCATGTGTTGGTACCTACCCAACATTAACTTGACATGTGTTGGCACCTACCCAATATTAACTTGGCATGTGTTGCTACCTACCCAACAACTTGGCATGTGTTGCTACCTACCCAACATTAACTTGACATGTGTTGGTACCTACCCAATATTAACTTGGCATGTGTTGCTACCTACCCAACTTATTAACTTGGCAACATTAACTTGACTACCTACCCAACATCAACTTGGCATGTGTTGCTACCTACCCAACATTAACTTGACATGTGTTGGTACCTACCCAACATCAACTTGGCATGTGTTGCTACCTACCCAACATTAACTTGACATGTGTTGGCACCTACCCAACATTAACTTGGCATGTGTTGCTACCTGTGTGTTGCTGCCTGCAACATTAACCTACCTACCAACATTAACTTGGCATGTGTTGCTACCTACCTACCCAACATTAACTTGACATGTGTTGCTACCACCCAACATACTTGACATGTGTTACCCAACATCAACTTGACATGTGTTGCCTGCAACATCAACTTGGCATGTGTGTTGCTACCTACCCAACATTAACTTGACATGTGTTGCTACCTACCCAACATCAACTTGGCATGTGTTGCTACCTACCCAACATCAACTTGGCATGTGTTGCTACCTACCCAACATCAACTTGGCATGTGTTGCTACCTACCCAACATCAACTTGGCATGTGTTGCTACCTACCCAACATCAACTTGACATGTGTTGCTACCTACCCAACATCAACTTGACATGTGTTGCTACCTACCCAACATCAACTTGGCATGTGTTGCTACCTACCCAACATCAACTTGGCATGTGTTGCTACCTACCCAACATCAACTTGGCATGTGTTGTTGCTACCCAACATCAACTTGACGTGTGTTGCTACCTACCCAACATCAACTTGGCATGTGTTGCTACCTACCCAACATCAACTTGGCATGTGTTGCTACCTACCCAACATCAACTTGGCATGTGTTGCTACCTACCCAACATCAACTTGACATGTGTTGCTACCTACCCAACATCAACTTGGCATGTGTTTGCTACCTACCCAACATCAACTTGGCATGTGTTGCTACCTACCCAACATCAACTTGGCATGTGTTGCTACCTACCCAACATCAACTTGGCATGTGTTGCTACCTACACAACATCAACTTGGCATGTGTTGCTACCTACCCAACATTAACTTGACATGTGTTGCTACCTACCCAACATCAACTTGACATGTGTTGCTACCTACCCAACATCAACTTGACATGTGTTGCTACCTACCCAACATCAACTTGGCATGTGTTGCTACCTACCCAACATCAACTTGGCATGTACCTACCAACATCAACTTGACAACCTACCCAACATTAACTTGGCATGTGTTGTTTGCTACCTACCCAACATCAACTTGGCATGTGTTGCTACCTACCCAACATCAACTTGGCATGTGTTACTACCTACCCAACATTAACTTGGCATTAACTTGGACATGTGTGTTGCTACCTACACAACATCAACTTGGCATGTGTTGCTACCTACCCAACATTAACTTGGCATGTGTTGCTACCTACCCAACATTAACTTGACATGTGTTGGTACCTACCCAACATCAACTTGACATGTGTTGCTACCTACCCAACATCAACTTGACATGTGTTGCTACCTACCCAACATCAACTTGACATGTGTTGCTACCTACCCAACATCAACTTGACATGTGTTGCTACCTACCCAACATCAACTTGACATGTGTTGCTACCTACCCAACATCAACTTGACATGTGTTGCTACCTACCCAACATCAACTTGGCATGTGTTGCTACCTACCCAACATCAACTTGACATGTGTTGGTACCTACCCAACATCAACTTGGCATGTGTTGGCACCTACCCAATATTAACTTGACATGTGTTGCTACCTACCCAACATCAACTTGGCATGTGTTGCTACCTACCCAACATCAACTTGGCATGTGTTGCTACCTACCCAACATCAACTTGACATGTGTTGCTACCTACCCAACATCAACTTGGCTGGAGACTCGGGCGGGATCCAGAAGAGCACGAGTGTGAGCGAGGTGAGCAGGATACACGGGAGGATGAGAATATAGTTGTACAGCACAGAACGACGCTGGAAGATGAGTCGGAAGGTCAAGTCGACGTATTGCTCTGGACAACACGAGTAGGACACCTCGTTCCTCTTGGCTGGAGCTGACAGTATGTTCCACGCATTGGACACCACATATTCAGTCAGGTCTATTTCCTTCTCTTTGCCCAGTAGTTCAAGATCCACTTTAGATTGATCATACGTCCACGAACCAAACTTTAAATGGCAATTCTGTATATCAAACGGAAATGCTGATACATCAATTTCACACGAGCTTTTATAGACAGCTTGAGGTAACCATATAACTAGGCCGGTATTTTCTATTTGGCACAAGGCATCCCTGTGTTCCTCCAGCCTCTCGTCAGCACTGAAGCAGAACAGAATGTCTTTTAGTGGGATATACATCAAATAGAAGGACAATAACATGTACAGTAAATGCCTAAATAAGACTCAAAGGTGCACCTTTTCTAACGGCTCCAACATACATCTCAGTTTTCATTTTTCTTCGAGAAGTGTTCTGATGTAAGACACCAAAGGTATAGAAACATAATTAATTGCTCATGTTCAGCCTTAAAAGTAATATGTGAAGATTTGAAAAGACAGCATTATGTATCATTCATTGCATTTTGTCGTTTGTTAGAGGCAGGTTTATTTCCTCTGTGGCTTTTGTAGAAATTTACGGTTTATATAAATTTTCCGAGTGTGTATGTATATCGTAGCGACGTTCACACCAAAGCATGTGGGTGTTTCAAGATCAGTACGTGGCGTATCACGATCAATTTGGGGTGTCACCTGAACAATACGGGTTGTATCATGGTCAATATACGGGTGTGGATCAGTATCAACGATCCGTCACTTTAAGTGAACCACTGACACGATGTTTCAAGAAAGAGTCATTTCACTTGAAATAATGTAAAATAGGGTCAGTTTACATGGCGAGGTGGGCTTTTCTTAAAAGGCCTCATTCATGACGCCTAAAATACAGGTTCGATTCCCAAATGAGTTAAAAAAGTAACGCCCAATTGCCTTTATATTAGTTTTACATTTCAAATCACAACGTCATGCCTTACCATCTTACTCAGTAATACACATGTGACTGTAACTGTAGAATTCCTTCGAGAATGTCTCCCAGCTGGCGTTACACACCACGTGGTATTGTAGCGCACATGGTGTAAAGCAGCATTCTGCTTCAAACATACAACACGTAGTTATGGCCGCTCTGCACATTTTTTTCTACTTTTTTTCCGGCAGCAGAGATACGCTGTTGTGTTCAAATTACTCATGTTGTTCACTTTTATCAGTAATCTCATTAGCTTGACTCGAAGCAGAAACTAAACGAATTAATCTATCCTCCAATTATCAAATTATACCGCTGATTGATTAATGTATCTTGTGATTAGACGGGTGATAAACTGAAGAAATACTACACACACCAGCATTTTTAATGCATTATAGTTTGACAACATGCAGGTGAGGGAAATTCGTTACCTGTGTGTTATAGAACCTAAGTTGTTCTTGACTTCAAGTTCGCTCAGGGTAAAATTGGAAAAATGAATATGATGTTATAAGATCGGTCGTTACAGTGTAGAGCCACCTTCGTCTGATTATCAGTGTAGTGTAGCATTTAAACAATTTAGTGTAGTATGACAGTATTTATAAGTGTGAAAGATATATACAGATGATTAGTTTAATTGATTCAGACTCAATGCGTAGCAATAATTATCAACAAAGCGTATCAGATATGCTGTTGACATGTACTCGTGAGTCAGGATATCTTCTGGTCGCTGCTATAACACACTTCAACGGGACAGCGACATATCTGACAGCTGGATTATCCTAAACTTGTTTATAGAACTTTCAGTTAAGGATCTCCGACGATGTACTCGCAACACGTCACATGCGTGTAAGACACTGTTTCACCGACTTGATTGTCTTCAAGGGCAAGCCTTAAAATAACCTTGACCTGATGACGTCAGGACAAGATCTCTCGGTTTGGAACATTTGGGGTAAATGATTTCTTTAGGTTTAAGGGCATTCGTTTTCATTGTTTTAGGATTCTGTTTCTATCCATTACCGTATGAATAACGTGGGGTTTTAACGCTTTCTCATTACAAAGGAGTAGGCATGCGTCACGGCTCCATTTGGACCAACAACAAAATACAGATTTCATATGCACAAAGGTATCTCTTCACAAATACAACAAGAAGACAAAGTCATCACTATCCCCCGCAATGGAAAAATACGCTTCATGATTATGTCTACGAGTTATGATTATGTCAAACATTTAGGTGTGTATATAGAAAAGTGGAAGGAGAGTATTGAAAGGTTTTTACAGTTCTGCTCCAGAAAGCAGCACTATCACCAATTTCAGGCTAAGTCAAACTTGTTGCCATGGAAATGCCCCCCAAAAATTATTCAGAATTCCAAAACTACCAAAAGGCACCCGTACACCACCAGATCTATCTATGTGCCAAGTTCGGTGAAGAAATAGTGAACAGTTTTAGTGTTCAGCTCCGGAAAAGAGCCCTACCACAATTTCAGGCTAAGTCAAACTTGTTGCCATGGAAACGCCAAAAATATTTTATTCAGAATTCCAAAACTATCAAAAGGCACCAGTACACCACCAGACCAATCTATGTGCCAAGTTTGGTGAAGAAACATTGAACAGTTTTAGAGTTCTGCTCCGGAAAAGAGCACAACCACCAATTTCAGGCTAAGTCAAACTTGTTGCCATGGAAACGCCAAAAATATTTAATTCAGAATTCCAAAACTACCAAAAGGCACCAGTACACCACCAGATCCATGTATGTGCCAAGTTTGGTGAAGAAATGTTGAACGGTTTTAGAGTTCTGCTCCGGAAAAGACAAAGGTGCACGGACGGGCGGACGGACGGACGCACGCACGGACGGAGTCCAGTTTAATACCCCCCGCAAAATGCGTTGCGGGGGATAAAAACGACGTAAACAGATAATTTAAGCCAGACTACCATGGTTCGTTGCGATATCCATGCTGAACTCCAAATCAGGAGATATCCTTAATGTAAGTGCAAGTGGTAATCAAAATTCAAAAGACAAAATCTCAATACAGTTACGAAAATGACAGACCTGCTGTCATCAGCCATTACATTGCAATGCTGACTCGCTCTGTCAGAGAAACGACTTCGCAATAAATGAGCTGATTTACAAGTTGAGCCAAACTACAATAATGTCAAGCCATAAATATTTGGTCTGAACACATGCATTTCCTACCAACGGGATGTGTCTTTGAGTAAACATTGAGGACAGTGTTATTGTTCGCACACCACTAACTAATGTTCCGTGATTATGAATTCATGTACACCTACTAGTTATAGAGTCGAATGTCGGGTGTCCAGATTTTACTGGGTGGTATCCTCACTATGTTCACGCCTCCCCATTCCGCGGGATTCCATTTCAAATACTCGTCATACCAGTTCTGAAAAGAAAAAATACAAAGTATGAATATAGCAAGACATCTGATACACATAATTATACGTATGCTATCCAATAACACTGCTTCACAAACATATCATTTTAACTGAACCCTTCAGTGTGTAGTCGAACAACCTAGCGAAGATGAAGGAATGGCAACGATGTGGTTTCCTTCGTGAGAATATATGCATCTTCTTCATTCCTTGATGTTTTGTGTAGAAGTTGTTAAAAAACACATGCGATTTATTGGTTCACCATCCACTGCCTCCAATGCAATTCCTTTGTCGGTTTTTACAGCGGGTTGTATGTGAGATATATCGGAATGCACTGGTACGCCATGTTACGGGAGTCCATTTTGGTAGTACTTAAAATATTCCAATCCAGGTGATGCAGAAAGTGTTGACGGTTTGGTGTAAAGTTCCTTAAATTCAATCTTACTCAAGGACTTGCAAGTCTATAGGTAATTGCCAGAGTTTTATGGAATTATAGAGGCATGGGCCGCGTAGGAATGTGCTACACTATTTCTCCCTTCGCCTTCCTATCACCAGTCGTTATCGTTGGTTCACAACCGCAGTGTGTATTATAACACCAATACTGTGTATTATCACACCATAGCGTGTATTATAACACCAATACTGTGTATTATCACACCGTAGCGTGTATTATAACACCAGTAATGTGTATTAGCACACCGCACTGTGTATTATAACACCAATACTGTGTATTATCACGCCGCACTGTGTATTATAACATCCGTACTGTGTATTATAACACCAAAACTGTGTATTATCACATCGTAGCGTGTAATATAACACCAGTACTGTGTATTTTCACACCGTACCGTGTATTATAACACCCGTACTGTGTATTACCATTGAATTGTCAGCACCACGCCCGTGGTCATGGGATTCACTAAAGTTACGACCTCCATTGTGTCGGGTCTTCCTCCTGCACAGAGCCGATATACAAATTTCTAAAAAAATCACTCATCAAATTTGTTAGACTCTTTGAGACTTTTCAGAAGACTTAATGCTTTGTCTGTACCCATCCTCCTGGACACCCTTTACTTCTACACAGCGCCATACAAGCGTGTTTCCTTTGTACTATGTTTTCACTTTCTGGTCACCCTTTCCATTCTCACTTAGCCTTCCACATTTGTCTTCCAGTCACGTTACGAGGTACATTGGTTTTAGGCATAATAATAGGTTGTGCAGAGTTACTCCAACGTCCGAATAAGGATCCGCTGATCATAGGTTCGAATCCCGGGATACCTTTGGGTCCTTGGGTTTTAAGCACCGTGTCCATACTCGCCGGTTTCAGGAAGGTAGGAACAGTTTAAGACCTGTCTGATTTTCTTATCACAACGAGCTGCATCATGGTGTAACAGGGTTATTATCTAAACCGATGTAAAAATCTACTTCACTCAATCGCTGTAAATTCTTTAAAATTCGTTATCTGTTGTAATTATCTCTTTTGAATTTCCCTTTTTATTTTCTTTCTTGCTTCTCACGTCTTATACTTCGTTTTCCTGTTTTCATCTTCCCACATTGTTTCTTTCAAAACAGAACTGGTACATTGAATCAAGAAAGCCTACCGGTATAACAACTAAATGTATTAATATTCTTTGTCGTATCGAATACAAAATGTTCAAGAAAAACCTTCAATATTGACCGTTTAATTGAATTGTCAAATGGTTTTTGAACAGAATTCTCTGGCCTGTATCATGCGCAGGCTTCGCCAGTAACGCTTTCTTCATATTTCAGGAACACTAACACCTTTACGAGCTAAGCTATTCAGAGCCGTGAAGCATCTGAGGGAGATGATTTGAAGTGACTGGAGAAAGCCATGAATATGGCCATCAATGCAAAGTGTCAACGAGGCAAGGAAGTCGGGCGGGAGATGAAAACTACTAGCATCCCATAATGACTAAAGCTCATCCCGGTCCGTGAACTAACAATATTACGTGAATGAGTGGCTGATAATACCTTTAATATGACGACGTACACGAAGAATGGGCTCCACTAAATGTACATGCTCACCACTTAATCACTTCATAACTCAATGGGTAGCTATAACATGAAGGACACTGGCGTAATTGTTTCTAGTTCACAACGTGTGAGTCACGTAACTGTTTACTGTTTTAACACAGGGTAATCATACAGGTCTGTCTGGCAATAACATCAGGCTGTTTAAAACGGGCACGTAGTATTCTGTGGTGTAAATCACTAGGGTTACAACACACAGGCACGTTTGTAATTGTTAAAGTTTAAACTCAAGGGTAGGAATGAAATTGTTAACAGATAGAACACAAGGATCTTTGCTTGTAATTGTTTTAATTATATTACAAAGGGTACGCGTATAACTGCTATTTTTTAAACTCAAGGTATGTAATTATTCATACATGAAACACAAGCGTTCTCTATATGTATGTCATTGTTGAAACTAAAGGGAATGTGTGTAATTGTTTATAGATGGAACACAAGTATATGTTAATGTTGAAACTCAAGGGAATGTGTGTAATTGTTTATAGATGGAACATAAGTATATGTTAATGTTGAAACTCAAGGGATGCATGTAATTGTTTGTAGATGGACACAAGTATATGTTATTGTTGAAACTCAAGGGATGCATGTAATTGTTTATAGATGGAACACAAGTATATGTTATTGTTGAAACTCAAGGGATGCATGTAATTGTTTATAGATGGAACACAAGTATATGTTATTGTTGAAACTCAAGGGATGCATGTAATTGTTTATAGATGGAACACAAGTATATGCTGTTGTTGAAACTCAAGGGATGCATGTAATTGTTTATAGATGGAACACAAGTATATGTTTATGTTGAAACTCAAGGGATGCACGTAATTGTTTATAGATGGAACACAAGTATATGTAAATGTTGAAACTCAAGGGATGCATGTAATTGTTCATAGATGGAACACAAGTATATGTTATTGTTGAAACTCAAGGGAATGTGTGTAATTGTTTATAGATGGAACACAAGTAAATGTTAATGTTGAATCTCAAGTGATGCATGTAATTGTTTATAGATGGAACACAAGTATATGTTATTGTTGAAACTTAAGTGATGCATGTAATTGTTTATAGATGGAACACAAGTATATGCTGTTGTTGAAACTCAAGGGATGCATGTAATTGTTTATAGATGGAACACAAGTATATGCTGTTGTTGAAACTCAAGGGATGCATGTAATTGTTCATAGATGGAACACAAGTATATGTTATTGTTGAAACTCAAGGGAATGTGTGTAATTGTTTATAGATGGAACACAAGTAAATGTTAATGTTGAATCTCAAGTGATGCATGTAATTGTTTATAGATGGAACACAAGTATATGTTATTGTTGAAACTTAAGTGATGCATGTAATTGTTTATAGATGGAACACAAGTATATGTTATTGTTGAAACTCAAGGGATGCATGTAATTGTTTATAGATGGAACACAAGTATATGTTAATGATGAAACTCAAGGGATGCATGTAATTGTTTATAGATGGAACACAAGTATATGTTATTGTTGAAACTCAGCGGATGCAGCAATTGTTCATAGATGGAACACAAGTATATGTTAATGATGAAACTAAAGGGATGCATGTAATTGTTTATAGTTGGAACACAAGTATATGCTGTTGTTGAAACTCAAGGGATGCATGCAATTGTTTATAGATGGAACACAAGTATATGTAAATGTTGAAACTCAAGGGATGCATGTAATTGTTTATAGATGGAACACAAGTATATGTTGTTGGTGAAATTCAAGTGATGCATGTAATTGTTTATAGATGGAACACGAGTATATGTTGTAGGTGAAATTCAAGTGATGCATGTAATTGTTTATAGATGGAACACAGGTATTTGTTATTGTAGAAACCTAAGGGAATGTGTGTAATTGTTTATACAGATTGAATGCATAGATTAAAGGGTATTGGCATGTTTTTGTTTATAATAGAACCACCCTGGTACGTACTTATTTTTATTTCACACATGAGTATGCCTGTAATTCTTATAGTCAGCTGACAAGGTACGTATGTTTAGTTTGTACGAAAACATGTGTACACATCTGCCTTGATGTTTTGTAGCACTCCAGCAATTGTTCATAATTGAAACACAGAGGTACTGAAGGTTTGTGTACAGTTAAGAAAAGTCAGTATATAATTGCAATAAGCAGATGCATTCTTCGTAGTTCCAACTTTGGGGTTATATATTACTGTTAACAGTTTTAACATTGTGACATATGTAAAACTGTTGATGAAACCGTTGATAGCTGTATACAAAGGTACATACTTACAGCTAGAACAAATTCATAAAGGCAGGGCGTTTTAAAAAAATATTAAAAACTACAACAGACGGATGCATTGCTATTATAAGTGACACTCACGTATCTATCCCAGACGTTGAGCGTAAGCACTTGATTTCTCTCATCAAGGTCCATAATTTGAATTAGTTGGATGTTAAATGAAATTTTGACGGTGTCATTGAAGTGTTTCACCGGACGCCCGTATTTTCCACGGCGCTTGTAGCGAGACAGGAGAATCTTTATGAGTCGGTCCTCATCTGATGGATGGATGTCAATTTGGGCTGCCAGAAAAAACAAAGAACACATACATCATTATGACCGCAAAAACAAAGCTTTGTACGGGAATGAATGGTATTTGTATATATAATTTAGAAACCTGCAGAATTACATTATCAATTATACATATAGAAACCAATCATATAAATACATGGAATGTACCAGAAAATACAATATACACTGAAAATAGGATTAACCTATGGATTTCTGTGCAACGTCTTGGCACTCTTACAACAGGCTAAAATGGTTGATACAAACATGTGTATCGTTACATTGCCGCAGAGGAATGATATAAGTTGAAATCCGTACGTTAATGCAACCTGCACGGATACTCTTCAGAACACCACTTACACTGATTACAAAACGCATGCAGTTATGTCCAGTTTAATCGAGTTCCGTTATATATGTCATCAGTATATATTGATTGTCAAAAGTTAAGCAACACTGTATGTTATAATTACAGCACAAGAACTATAATAGATCATGTTTAGGTCTCAAAACATATCACTATTAAAGAAGAATGATCCGTTGCAGAGGTAATAATTCACTGTAATGTTGGCAGATGCAACTGCAGATGATGACGTCAGTACCACATAGATCTATTTCTTCAGTGGCGTTTGATCATAATATGATAAAACGTAAACCTGGGGAGAATGTGGCCAACGTATAGGAGTACATTACGCAGCAATAAGCAAGGAAAGGTACCGTTAAGAAAATGCTCCGTTGCATCAGGTCTGTTTAAAACACAGGATTGTTCAGAATATTATTCGTTCTTGCACATTTGAATCAGGTCCAATATATATCAGAACGTGTTTTGAGCGAATATTCCGAGACATATTTGCATGAATTTGGATAATAAACCTACCATTGAATGACATCATGCCTATTTTTAGCTTCCAGTATATGCACGCCCTTGCGATATAATAGACAGGATGATTGTCGAGGGCATGTAGAGGATATATTCCAGCTTACATTACCCGGAAGTATTGACGTGATATGATCAAGCTTCGTATATATGTTACATTATGCATGACAGTGGTGTATTATATACGGTTCTATATATCTGCCATAGTATGCTGTGTGACTGTATCCACGTGACATTCCTGGTATAGGCATATAGCGTGGGTACCACACAGTGTGTAGCAGAGGCCTGGTGAACATTCACTTTTCATGCAGTTCGTGGTATATATGCTAACTTAACACGTGATGCATAGTGTATATGTTCCTTTAACACGCTAGAGTAGAATTAGAAATTTTGATTCAAAGTTTCACCGTGAATAACTGTTGTCCGTTAGGTAGAATTTCTTGGTTTGACAGACTAATGTTTTCCTTTCGCTGCAACTCGTAATCAAATTATAAGTAATGAACGAGAAGCTATTGCATATGTATTGGATTGCCTTGTAAAGAGCCAGGCACCATTTCCAGTAGAGTAGCAATAACAACGACGGTGTTGTCACTGGCCTTCTCAGACGCCACTACATTCGTGGACGTCTCCCTCGGAATTGACCAAGAGAACTCGGTCCTTAAAAAAGCAAATGATAAACGGGCTCACGCTCATTGGAGTTGCAACAACGATTTGGGTTGTTTGCCGACGTACCCCCGGGAGATAAACGTCCACCGGAAACCATTGCTTCGTGCGAGGATATTTTATCGATTTTTTTCTCAATGTTAGCATACGCCTTTGTTCTTCAAAATAATCAACGGGGGACCCATTAATTCTTAATTCAGTAATTTCGTTCAAAGAGAATTAAAAGTAATTAAGATGTTGTTCAGAGGAGACATAACATGTATTTGTAAACTCGTGTCAATTACAACAGAGGAGTCTTCAACCGAAGGTGCAATGCTCTGTTTTAAACCGACAACATAAACATTGCAACTAATCTGTCCCTGGTTTCTCGGACTGCAGAAAGCGTAACCCAACTTATTGCGGCTGACGTAACAGGGACTCAAATTTCCCAATGGGGAATATTCATCGCAAATAACAGAGAATCTGTACATCCCAGCGAGACATAATCCATCACACACAACATAGACCTGGTGTAGAAAAAAAGTGGCATATTCTATATGCTATGTTAGGGACTTCGTACATCCAAAATGTGGCAAAATTCATCACGGTTAAGCAAGGTTTGGCGAACCAAATATACGTGACAGATCAAATCTCATACGACAAAGAATCCGTACAAAAGAGATATGGGATAGTCTAAATGCTTTATCGGATATGCCGTTGACCCAAATATTGCATAGTTAATCACAATTTAGCAAGCTGCCAAATACGGGCGTATTCCCTATTTATTACAAAGAATCCGTACAGTGAAAATCTGGCATAGTTTATATGCCAGGACAGAGAATCCGTACACTGAGATCTGGCATAGATTATATGCCACAACAGAGAATCCGTACACTGAAAATCTGGCATAGTTTATATGCCACGACAGAGAATTCGTACACTGAAAATCTGGCATAGTTTATATGCCAGAACAGAGAATCCGTACACTGAAAATCTGGCATAGTTTAAATGCCACGACAGAGAAACCGTACACTGAAAATCTGGCATAGTTTATATGCCACAACAGAGAATCCGTACACTGAAAATCTGGCATAGTTTATATGCCACGACAGAGAATCCGTACAGCCAAATGTGGCATAATTCATGAGAGATTCAGCATGCCTAAATTGGACATTCGATTTCTATCTGACATTTCTCAGACTCATTATGCCCTTGGGCGGAATATTCCCGAATTGGCCATGTCATATCTGACGTCAATACCCTTTGAGAACAAGTTTGCAAAGTGACGTCATATCGTCACATTCTCTATATATCAGTGCCTGTTCAGGTACACATAACATAAAACTGTACGAAGTCGATACGTTTCGTCTATCCATCCCAGAATATTTCATCAAGGCAGGGGGTATGGAAATGCCAAAGTACTACTCTGGTCCCAAGATATACGCCTAAATTGCTTGCGGCAACCCAGCACGTTTTAAGAACATTCGGTTTGCTGCTGTGACACAAATAATTAAAACGTCAAGGAAAATGTTTATGACGTTCATTAGCAGCACAATGCATTTGGAAACACTTAATTACGGGCAACGATTGGAGGTCAAATGTGCACGACAATATTCCCTCACTTCGCAACGGTAACATTAATGAAATGCCTCGTCTGGTTGGCTTTCAATGTCAAATTATGATTCATTATTTCACAAAGGTGAAGCAAACTGCGCTTAAATAAGTTGATGGTAGATCAAAGAGACGAGTTTCGAATCGATAAACAGGCCCTCCAACTCTCCAGTCAAGCTGTTCTAACAAAAGGCAGAGGCACGTCAGTAGTACTATAATACTGCCCTGGATTAATCTAATACTGCCATAGAATATTATCGTACTGGGCCTAGGTTTTCGAAGCTCTCTTAGCGCTATGACAGTCGAAAGTTAATGTTAATGTATGACACTTATGACCGTCTTAGCGCTAAGAGAGCTTAGAAAATCTAGGCCCTGCTTCTTTTTGCAGTGTTAAACAAAATCGTATCATTGTTCGCCGTGCGTCTGAAATGCAGTTCATTAGTATTGCATTTACACACTACCGTACACACAAAAGATAGGTAATTTAAGTAGGAGTAAAGTGGCATATTTCTCTGGTGATATCATGCCTATGATATTGCAATCGTTTCATACATGCATGCATGCATGCATACATACATACATACATACATACATACATACATACATACATACATACATACATACATACATACATACATACATACATACATACATACATACATACATACATACATACATACATACATACATACATACATACATACATACATACATACATACATACATACACACATACATGTCTATTTGAATACTGATGTTCCTCTCAAAAGTGATCCAACATGCTGCTGAACTGAACTGTGAAATGACCTACGTATATATCTGCCTTGGTGCTAACCTGACATTTCTTAAAGGCCTCCTTTAACACGCATTAAGACCTCGCTTAAAGTTCATATATTACAGTGATTGAAAACTATCTTCTTATTAAACTCTGACTCATCGTGGTGTCCGTTTATACAGGTGTTCGGAAGGACATTCTGAATGTCACTCAGACAGACTTATATCCTAACCTCTGTTACGCTAATCCAGAACATCGTTCTGTCCCTGTAATGATATGACGCATCATATATTGTAAGGTTACTTTGATCGAGACTCACGCCTCTTTATTACGATATGATGTAATTATGTAATGTTCTAATTAAACACTGATACAGAACAACGCCTTTTTATGATAATGTAATTATATAGTGCTCTACCTTTTTGCTCTCTGACATAATGCATTTCTTAGTATTATGTTTAACAGATTAAACTTTTAAAATGCAGCAGAGGGAGGTCGGGTGATCCTCTCTAAGTCTCTGGTTAAGCTCACTGTCAGCTCAGGGCCCTTGCCCCTCTACACGCAGCTCAGAAAGCGAATGGGACTTCCTCCAGGAAGGACTGCCTAGTTGAACCCACCAAGAACTTTTCAGAGAATATGCAGCCTCCCCAATAATGCAGCCTTCTGCATTACCCAGAGTGTCATAAGGGTTGTGCTCCCGGTTGAAAACACGGGTACACACCTGATCTGCGTCAAGAGATCAGGAGGTACCAAACCAAGGGCACCGAGAACAATGGGAGGAGCCTGACGACGGTGTACTTGGGATGCTAGCGAGGCATTTCATAGGACAGGTCCGCATATTTTGTTTTTCTGAATTTTGTCAAAAGAGACAGAGCATTCAATGAAATGAACAGATTCATTTTTTTATCTATAAGTACAAAACCGGTTTTGTTGCATTTTTAGGCATGGGACTGTATATGGGCCTATTCGAAAGATTTCTTTCATTGTCATTGTCCATGACAATGTCTCTTAAGATACCATGTTCGCGCCAACGCTGGGCATCCACATACAAGGTGTTGGACAATCTCATAAAATTCATCATATAATCTACATTTCATATTTACATTTTAACG